TCAAAGGCAGATGTAATTAGAATGGGGGTTGGAGAGGGAAAGGAAACCACAGAGAAAGGGAAGTTAGAGACCAGGCTTCTATTTCACAGCAAGTGAAACAGAAGTACATGTAAACAAGAGTACATGTATCAGACCTGCTAGAGATTTTATGGGGGTACTTATCAATACAACTCACAAACATTCACCTATAGCAGTGCTGGATTCTCAAAATCTTCCACAAAGCTCACCTCTAAGAAGTCTCAATGGATAATTACCATCCTGTTGTGATTATTTTAAACACTTACATACTCAATAATATAGTATTCCCCAAGCTATCTTGCATTACTGAGAAATAAGGTCAAGAGTACACTTAAGTAGTTAAATAGCAAGGGACTTTGAAGCTCTTCATAATCCAAGGAACATTACTCAAGAACTTTGTGATCTTGGGCAAGTTATTTAATCTTTGTTTATAAAATTTCTAAAATGGGACTAACATTATTAACAATGCTCATGGCTTAATGTCAATAATGAAATAATACCTATTATTATATACCTAGCAATGCTCAAATACATAAAGTTTTATGAACATAGTCTTTTTTTAAAGTGTTATTTAATTTAAATCATTCTGAATAGAAATCTCAATAATTTAGTTATCTTTGTTTCTTCCTAAGGCAAAGATTTAACTTTTTCTGGCCTGTATAGGATCAAAATTAGAAATAGAAATTGTAAGGTAAGGTTATGTGTGACCATGAATACAAAAAAGTTTCCACAAACGATCAGTATCTTTTACAGATACATCTGAGAATTTTAATTTACAAAGATGTTTTGCCTCTATGTTAATTATTTCTAAATTGTTACAAACTACAAATGGTTATTATTATATAACTAATGAAGTATGTTGAAATTATAGCTAAGTTAAGAATAAAAAGAATTCCTTACTAGGAATATATGCTTTTAATGTATGAAATGCCTTGGCTCTCACTATACTGGAGACACAAAGATAAAAAAGAATATAGTATCTACCCTCCTGAAGCTCAGAGCTTAATGAAGATAGACACGTAAACCAAATCACAGCAATTTGATAAGTGAAACATTAAAAGAAGCAGCGCTCCATTTGAAGTCAAAATGTTTTTCTGGAAGAGGTGATCTTTACCCTAAGATGATAAAGAGTAGTTCACCAGGTTGGGGGTTAGGGATTTAGGTGAGCAGAGGTGATCAAGGAGGCTAGAAGGGCACATGTAAAGTAAAACAGCATGGCAGGGTCTGGAGCAGAGTGCTTGCAGAGAGGCAAATTTAGAAAGGCAGGGATGGACAACATCAGAATGGCCTAGTTCGCCATACTGAGGAGGAGTCAGCCCTTTTTAAGTAAGTTAAGGAGGAATCACAGAGGTATTTTAAGAGCAGTGAAGGAGGTTGGCTGAAAAAGATAACATGCTTCCATTCACATTATAGAGAGATCCCTCCACCTAAACTCTGTAAATTGATCAGGAAGGGGGGATTATCGCCAAGGAAAATATAGGCCAGAGTGGAAAGCAGCAGCAGCTAATCTAAAGTAGTGGTGATAAGAGTGGAGAATAAAGAATGGATGAGAGAGACTAAGAAGGTAGTCTTAATAACCCTCAGAGATCTAGGAAAATTTCACAATTTCTAGTTTTGGCGAATGGCTGGACCATAATGGAAGACAAAGGCAAAAATAATGTCACCTAGAGGAAGCATATAGATCAAAAATGGGTAATTTGTATACTACTTTAAAGGTCCGAAAGTTTTTTCACATAGGTCGGCTAACTATAGTTGCTTAAGTTTCCTGGGCATTGTGTCCAACTTCTTTACTATCATCCCAGGCCTAGTAAGTGTTTGGGACCTGAAAGATGCCCAATAAAAATGGATGAATTAACTAACTGTGGTCCTTAGGTCAGTCAAGAAGCCAAAATACAGCACCGAAAGACTTTAAAATTGCTTAAGATACCATTTTAAAGTTACAGATGAACTCTATATACTGCCTTTTCCATTTAGAAACACAATTTTCAGTGGAGTGGGAACTGTGAACTGACTTTTTGGCAGAGTTCAAGAATTCACCTAAAACCAGTAATTTATGGCTATCTGTGCTTCAAATTTCAATAGAGAATTCAGAAGCAGGTAGAAAAGTGTAATTATGGATTTTTAAAAATATTTTAAAAAGGGAAAATATTAAAAATGCTTCCCTTATAGGTACATTCTTACATTAACAACATGAGAAATCTACACAGGAATACTGAACAGAGTATTTTAAAAGGATTCTCACTCCTGAGTATGAATACTAGGCAAGTCCAAATGTTTTCTTAGTACTTTCTTTGTACATACCTACTCAGATAAATGCACATTACATAAACTCAGACAATAATAAGTGTTCATAAATTGGTGAATGAAAAAGGTGAATCAATGAATAAGCAAGGATGGCTGCTGAGCAGATCCTTGCAGAAGAAACCATGTAATAAGAACCTGAGAGTCTGAAGAGGCACAATAAGAGAGCTTAGTCAGTAAAACTGGAGTGCTAGTTTTGCTGTTTGTTTTCTATTTCTTACTAACAAAGTAAAAGATATCTTAAGAAACCCACCTTATTCAATAAAAACTAAGAAAGGAAAAAGCTCAATAGTCTGTACATAGGATCACATTACAGTCAAATCTTTTTGCATAGACCACTTCTCAATTATTTCCTTTTGCCTTTCTTTGAATGTCTACCCTCCCTCTTGTTCACACTTTTTATGTTAATGAAGAATAGACAAAATGGTAGTAACAAGGGAAAAAAAAATCAAACTGAACATAATGACCTAATTTTAAAACTACCTGAAAATAAATTAATCTACCTTTACTGGTACTTATTTCTACATAAATATTTCTGTGTAATTGAGAATTCTTTATGCACAATTTATCTGCCTGAACATAGACCTTGGGAATGTCCTATTAGAAATCTTGGTATTATATGGTTTCACAGTTAAATCTTAGATTGACAGAGACTGCATGGAGCAGTTAAAGAGTTTCAGTTAGACCCAGCAGTTTAGTTCTCGTTTCACCATTTAATCTCTCTATAACTTTGGATTCTTTTCTTAAGTACCCTGCATCTCAGTAATTTGTAAAATGGGACTAATAATAGAACTTACGGATGATATAAAATAATGTATCAGGAAGATACTATATAAACTGTGTTATTTTTGTAGCTGTAAGTTCAGGTAGTACTTATCAACTTTTTGTATTTCAAGTATATCAAGTAACCTAGTTTCCACTGTGACAGGTAAACAAAAAGCCCACTCACTTCCAGAGTACTACAGTACTCTACCACTGGTAAGTATACCAAAGTAATTTCTTCCCTTTAACTTTATATTGAAATAGTAAGTCAGGGTTTCAGTTTGCTACCAGCTGAGAAAGCAAGGAATAGAAGATAGCCTGTCCTAAAAATCCACTTCAAATAACAACTAAGCAAATAAGCTGCATCCAAAAAGTCTAAATTGTAATGGTATTACAAAGTATATTACAGACTATAAAAACCATCAGCAGCCTGCCTTGCACAATCCTGCAAATTTTAAGAAACTCTGCTTCTGCTTACTTGCTTCCTAACATAGCTCTTTTCAACAACAAAAAAAGCAGCATACCAGTGGTCATATCCTTTGAAAAATCAAAATCTAGACCAGGTTTAGAATGTAAGTAAGATGCCTCCATGGTTATGTCATAAAATTATACTTTTGTTTTGGAAAACTTCTTTTTAGATTATCACCATATTAAAATCACACAGAAGTTTTCATAATTACAAAAGGCATAGTTTCAGGTCCAAAGGCAGGCTAGCTTGGAATTTTAAGTTTCCTACTCAGCCACAATGTGGATTCAGTTTTATTTTGGGGCTTAGGTTTGAGTTTGGCTTTCTTTATCATGACTTTACCCCCAAATATACTGTGACTAAACTGCATTACTATTTATTACACATGTAAGATTTCAGATGGAATCAAAGAGAAGGATGGAGTAACTAAAGTTAACATGCTTGTTTAAAAACTAGTCAGACATCTTAAGCACTCCCAGATGCCAGTAGACAACCTTACCACTTGAAGCAAATATGTATTTGTTGTGGTAGGGGAGAGGAAAAAGACCACACCCAAAGCCAAGACTCACAGTGAAGTGATACCAAGTTTCAGAATTTTAACTAATGCTATTTTTGGTACTCTTTCACGGTCAATGAATTCTTTAAATTCATACCAGGCCCAACGTTAAAGGAAATGTTCCTCTGATCCTAATTACTTAGGTAACTTATTCAGTAATGGGCAAGTCCACGATGAAGAATTACCTCATTCAAAGAAAGATTTAAGTAATCTGGTGTAGAAGAGGGCCAAACTCAAATGATCAGCTCTCAGAAGAGACTCTCAAAGAGCCAGATACCACTCTTCCCCTCCCCCAAGGGGTTAGGAAGGCCAGAAGAACCTATCAACACAGCAGTTACCTAACACAGAACGCTATCAAGCTACCTGGACCGACCTTTCAAAGTCTAGACACCCTTGTCCCCTGGTGCCACCTCCATTCAGGAAGTCTCTCCTCCTGCCCACCCCACCCCCGCCAGTCCAGCTCCCACCAGCTTCCTCAGCCTCATCTCCATCCCACCTCCATGCTCTCGCCCACTCATCCCCGCTTACCTTGGCCACATAATCTTTCACTTCATCCAGGTCTCCGTTTTTCAGGGCCCACATGAACTCCTTGTCGCACATCACTGCAGCGGGGCAGGCCGGTTGGCCGGGCAGAAGAGGAGGCGGCGGTGGCAGCAGCAAGCGGATACCGCCGGACGAGAGGGAGACAGGGCCGCGCGAAGCCGGAGAGAAGAAGAGAAGGCGGGTTACGCTGCCAGGCGGGCTAGGCAGTTGGCCGCGGTAACCGTTCAGGCGGGAGAAAGAAAGTTCTTTTGCGGCTACTGGGCCCAGCAGAGCAGGTTCCGCCTGGCCGAAAAGCAGGAGCGTTTACGCTTCCGGTTCACTCCCCGCTAGGACCCTCCTCCAACTTCCTCTTCCTCTTCCTCTCCACGCTACGTCGGGCTTTGGACCCCGCCCTTACAGCTAGAGGCTGGCTACTGGTGCGCAGGCGCAGTGGCTAGGTAGGCCGGAGCCAGGATGGAGGGGAGGAGCCGGAGATGAGTGGGCGGGGCTGAGGGAAAGAGGGCCGAGGGTCCAGGGGAGGTCTGGAAGGGTAGAGAGCTAGTGGAGGCAGAGTTAAAGTATTTCCGGTGGGATTAGGACATTTCCATACAACTATAAATAGGAAAATTTTTTTGTGTGTGTATAAAACATGATCTTGGAGGGCATCTTGCTCACCTTCTAAAAATGTCCAGTAGGAGAGTTTGATTTGAATTCCTTTATTTTTTTCCTTCCTTTTTTCCATCCCTCCTCTCCTCTTTCCCTTCCTCCCTCCCTTCGTCCTTCCTCTTTTCCCTCCTTCCCTTTCTCTTTCTGTCTCTCCTTCTCTCCCTCCCTTGCCATCCTATTTGGTATTGCTGGGCTCGTACTACTACATGACAGACTGCTAGACACCGAGAATATATTCTAGGAAAAAACAATGGAAAAGCAATTTCTACTCTCAATGAAATCTTTAACATTTAAAACAACCATATAAATTCAATGTGTTAATACTATATATAATGTTCTCTGGAGAGAAATCTTTAGTTTGTGGTAGGGGAAAAAATTAACTCATCTCCCTGACTAGCAAATGGCATACAAACTGATGCCACAAAGCAGAGCAAACCAAACTGTCTGGTACAATTTCCAATTTTTAAAATGTTGTGTTTATTTTTAATGGTTTGAAGCTTCAGGGCCATTCTAGTGAAGCCAGTTCTGTTCTTCATAGGGTTTGGCTGTAGTGCCATAGGGCACACCACCAATAAATTGTACCTCACAACCCTAACGATCCAGACATGCACACATGAACACATAGAGCTCCAATAAAAACTCTTATTGGAACTATTATAAATATAAAGTCTATTATTTATGACCCACTAAATAAATAAACCAAGCCACTTTGGAACCTGCAGCCTTGGGGCCACATATAGCCTTCTGGATCCTGGGTGTGGCCTTTTGAGTGAATCCAAATTTTACAGAACAAATCCATAATTTGTTCTGTGAATTTTGGATTCGGTGGAGGGGCCAGACTTGGGGAGCTGTAGGGCCACACCTGGCCTTGAGGTTGCAGATTCCCTACCCCTGCTAGGGTTCATAAACACAGACTCTGGAGTCTGGTTGTTTAATTTTCAATACATGAGCCACCCCTTATTAATTTTATGTCATCCTGGGCAAGTTACTAACCCATCTCCACTTCAGTTTTCCACATATGTAAAATGGGGGATAACAATAGTGTTTAATAAATATATTTTTTGCTCTCATTTAGAAATAATAAATAGGTTTCAAAGCAAAAGAAAAACCTCTACATATTAACAGCTGCATAGATTGTTACCCGTTAATTTTACTTCCTGACAATTAGAAATACAAATCCACGTACCCAACAATGACACATTTCCAAGAACAAATATCAACGAGGAATTTGTTAGGCAAATCCTGAAGTCCCCATCTCTTCTCCAACCCACATTCCTGCCTGTGTGATCTGAGTGACATCATGCTGAGAGCTCTTGATTTATGTCTTTAATCCAGACTTTTCCTATGGGATCCATTCTTATATTTAATTTTTTACCCATTTGAATGTCTCAACATGTCCAAAATAGGATCTGGTTGCCTATAGATTCTAAACCTAGGTGTTCTCTTTACTTCCTGGTTCCTGTAAATTATAACACTAACCACTCTGTCACTAGAACAAAAAACGTGGGAGTCATTCCAAACTTTTCTTATTCAATCCATTAGTAAGTCCTTCAAAATATCTTAAATTTGTTCACTTCTTGCCATATTCAGTACTGAGCCCTGCCCCTACCCCACACCGCAGCCACTGCCATCTCTGTCTGCACTGCTGTGATACAGCCTAGAGATGCGGTCCCCAACCCTGGGGCGGTGGACCAGTACTAGTTGGTGGCCTGTTAGGAACTGGGCCACAGAGCTCCTCCCTTCCCCCCATGGAAAAATTGTCTTCCATGAAACTGGTGCCAAAAAAGTTAGGGACTACCATCCTAAAGGGTCTCCCATTTTCACTCTTATTTGTTTCCAGGTAATTTCCCACATAGAGAATTACTTTTTTAAAATATAAATCAAACTTGCACTTCTTGTCCTAAGACCTTTCAATGGCTTTCTATTGCAGGTAGAATAAAAGCCTAATTTTTATTTATTTATTTTTATTTTTTTATTTTAGCATATTATGGGGGTACAAGTGTTAAGGTTACTTATATTGCCCATGCCCCCCTTGAGTAAGAGCTTAAAGCATGTCCATCCCCCAAACGTTGCACATCTTACTCGTTGTGATTGTATATACCCCTCCCCCCTCCCACCTTCCGGACACCCGATAAATGTTACTCCTATATGTCCACTTAGGTGTTGATCTGTTAATACCAATTTGCTGGTGAGTACATGTGGTGCTGGTTTTTCCATTCTTGAGATACTTCACTTAGTAGAATGGGTTCCAGCTGTATCCAGGAATATACAAGAAGTGCTATATCACCGTTGTTTCCTAAAGCTGAGTAGTATTCCATGGTATACATATACCACATTTTATTAATCCATTCATGAATTGATGGGCACTTGGGTTGTTTCCATAGCTTTGCAATTATGAATTGTGCTGAAAAGCCTAATTTTTTGCTATGGCCTTCAGGGCCCTCCGTGATCTGACCCTTGGCAGTATCACCTATCTCATGACACACCCTCCTACCCACATTGCTTCTTTGATTCTAAACTATCCTGTCTTCTGTAAGTTTCAGGAATACCAAGCTCATTCCACCCTCGGGCCTTTAGGCTTGTTGTTTACTGTCTGGAATGTTCTTTTAATTCCTACTCATGCCTTCTGACCTTTGAGGTCTCTATGCACAGGTTGCCTCTTCAGAGAAGCCTTTCAGACCATCCATGTTAAATAGGCCCCTCTGTTACTTCTGTTGGACAGCACAGTTTCCACTCCCTTCACTGTACTTATCACAAATATTTTAATTATCTTTCTCATTTATCTGTATATTTTGGTAGGTATTTATGGTGTTAAATAAATCCTTTTGTCTGTCATTCTGGGCACAGGAGGGAATTGCTCTTTCTGGCTTCCTCATAGTTTGGTAATGTCATATAACTAATTTTGGCCTATTAGTTATGAGCAGAAGCAATATGAGTCACTTCCAAGCTTGCCAAAGCAAGACTCCTCAGAACTCTTTTTTCCTTTTGCTACAGCAACCAGCAACATTCAAGATAGTGGCTACAAAATCAGTTTGGATTCCCAAGTGACTACAATGAACAGAGCTCCCCCACCATCTCATAATGGATATGTAGTGTGAATTGGAATTAAACTTTCATTGTTTTAAGCCACTGAGATTTTAGTGTTGATTACTGGAGGAACACTGAACCAATCTTGAATATAGAAATTATTGCCAGCATGGGGATGTTCTATTAATAGAACAAAAATTTTAAATAAATAGCATTGACTCAGGGGCTAGGTAGTACACAAGAGAGAAAGTGATATGAGAAGCCATAGGGATGGTGATTCATATTCACAGGGGTGAAACATTTGGCAAAACGTGGAAGACAGATAATGTACCCTATAAACTTGTAGCTCTGGGGGAAGAGGCTGGAAAATGGAAAGTTGGTGGCATGTGTTGGTAACTATTGGGTACATAAAATACTGCAGGAAAAGATGAGTTCAGAAAATAAATTTCCATCCTGCAATTAGGAATGAAAGTGATTATAGGGAGCCAGAAATGTGAAGCCTTAGACAATTGGAAGATACAAATGATTCTCATCCTTATCCATTAAAAAAACAAAACTGAGATGAGCAAGAAAGGCTGATTAGAACTTAACCTTGTGGCAAGGATCAAATTAAAGACATGACTGCCATACCCATGACTAAAACCTCTGCATAAAGTGGTACCCACTGAATACTTCCAGTTGGACAGAGTGGTACAGGTCTTCCCATGACGAAGCCTTATAGGCTCAAGATACCTACAAGAAACAAGAGAGAAAGTTCTGTCCCAGAAAGTATGGCGGCTGTGACTATGACACAAAGTTGACTTGAATCAAATCTGGAAGCTGACTAAATTTTTGAGAGAGGTGCCAGAATATCAGTTAAGGGCTCAAGGAAACTGTAAATGGACTTGAAGTGACCCTGGCACCTCAACCTTCTGTGGGCAGGAAGTAGTCTGAGAAGGCTGCTCAAACTCCAAGCAAACATGTTCTCTAATACTCATTAAGAAAAGGACAAGAGGGGTCATGGAAAAGAAAAAGCCCACTGCAAGGTGGGCCTAAGAACCACAGAAAGCACTGCACTGGGCGAGAGCGGTACCATGGATCAAAACTGGGGCCTCATCAAGGAACATCCCCAACCCTAGTGGAAAGAATCCTTGCAATGTCTGCCGGGCAAGGTCCCAGAAGTCCCACAGACTAATGGTTGCTATCTGTATTCTGTTCTTTCCCTTTTCCAATGGGAGTGCTTATAGAGGTTATCCTGGGTGAATTCTATCAGCATAATTAAAGACTTTAATTAACCAAGAGTCATGCCTGAATAAACAGTCTCCTCACCTTTGCATGGTTCTAACCTTTGCAAACAGGGTCTACATATTCTACCAAAGGAAAGACTTTTGAGGTCTGCTTCACAATGCCAACAAAAAAGAATGAATTTAAAGATGGCCATGACAGTTTTAACAGGGATCGTGTTATTTTGTTTCCATATAAATTAATGTATGCTCACTTTTTAAAAATTTAAGAAAACATCATTGTATATAGAGTAAAAAGTGAAAATATCCTTTATTGCAGTCCCTAATCTCTTCTTTACACAACCCATAGATAACATACTCCACCATAGATAATCACTGAAAGCATTCTGCAGAACTGGTGAACCATGGCATATACTTTTAATTGGAGACAGAAAAAACATAAAATGGTTTTATAAGTGCATTGTGTATATGTGTGTACATATATACTTAGAAAAGTACAAGAAGGAATCAAGTATTAATCATGGTATTATCCAGATTGTGGCATTATGGTTGATTTCTTGCTTTCTTCTCTATACTTTTCTGCATTTTCTAATTCTCTATTAAAAGTACTGATTTAATATCTATGTAGAGCAGGATTTATGTCCAATTCAATTGAAGGAGTTTCAAGTCTTTGCGGTAAGAAGTTTACAAAAATCAAGTGAAAAGAAAGAGTAATGTGGTTAGTGTAGCTCTTGTAGGTAGTCAACATAATGGAAATTTACAACAAATATTTTAATAAATATTTATTTTGTTCCAACACTGTTTTAGGAGTTGAGAATAAAGTGGTAACTAAAACAGATAAGATCCCTTTTCTCATGGAGATGTTCTAGTGCAGGAGGCCGATAATGAATGATTATCTTACATTAATAAGGTAATTGAATTGAATTACCTTACATTAATAAGATAATTCAGGTAATATTTAATGCTATTAAGAAACTAAAGAATGTCGTGGTAATAGTGAATATTATTGTTGGTGGGAAACACTAGCTAGACAGGGCAGTCAAAGAAGGCCTCTCCAGGACTGTCTGAGCTGAGACTTGGAGCGAGCCTCTCAGCTCTCTGCGGGCAAAGCCCCCCAGGCAGAAGGAACAGCAGTTGCAAGTGCCAAGGCAGGTATAGGCTTGCTTGAGCCTCAGCTATAATAGTACAAACGTGTGCTGAGAAGTCAGGGCAAGTCCCGATAATAATATGGACTTGCTGAATGTGTTATAAGGGTTTTCTTGGGGTGGGGGGAAGTACTACTTATAAAATGTTACTGACAAACTTGTCAAATGTGGTAAGAATAATTGCAGTCCTAAAATGGTGTTAAAACCACAGAGAAAGGCTACATGAGTATAAAATTCAGTTTTGCATTTTTTTGCTTCTCTCAAATTCTCATTTAGATTATGTATCTCATGTAGACTCAATGCCATGAACAGTTAAGACCCTTATAGTTAAACAATTTCGAGATAATGCCTCAAGGAACCCTATTCTTCATGCTGATTAAGCCCTCTAAAAGTGACGTATGGTGTTGGCACCAAGTTCTAGGCAGCAGGCACTGAGTCGGTGAGTTGGGTCAGAGGGACAGCACACAGGCCGTGTTGGTTGTGTGTGCATGTGTTTGGTGGTGGGGGTGGCTGTGAATCTGGGAGACCACAGTGTTTGGGCTGGACATACAACTGGAATGATTGAGCTGCTTAGGTACCTCTGCTTCAAAGGATCCAGATTCATTTTTAGAAAGAGAGCAGGCTGTGCTTAAACAGCCTCAGCTGTGGAAGGTGAAGACTGGCAGGGCCCCGAAGTACAGTTCTGATCTTTCAGAAACTCCCTACCAAGAATTGGGTAGCGATCGCAGCAGCAGACTCAGAGTTTGGCTGGCTTAGCTGAGAGAAGACGAGCCATTTGGGGAAGATGGTAAGTAAGCTTGACCAAACAGAGAGGTTTAGTTCAGAGATAAAGGGAGATCCTGACTTACTGCAGAAGTTTATTTGTGAGTAGAACATTACTGAAATGTTTGTATTTCTTCTTTTTTCTAATTTATATTTTACTTTTTTGGTCTTTAAAATTTTTAAATTAGGTGTTGGTATTCTCCAGGGATTAGGGGGTTGGGGGGGTAGACTCACAACTGAGGGATGCAGTGAGCATTGTGGAGGGAAAGGGCATACCTCTAACTCTTGCTAGGGAGAGGCAAAGATATAAAATGTAACCACAATATTTGCACTTTCATATTTTCCTGAAATTAAAAAAATATATAAATTTTTTTAAATGAATGCATAATATTTGTACAGATTTATGGGTTACATGTGATATTTTGATACATGCATACAATATATAATGATCAAATCAGGGTATTTAGGCTATCACCTGGAACATTTATCATTTCTTATTAGAGAATAATTTATTGTTATTGCCTTGGTTTATAGAAACAAATGTATTAATACAGACTAAATATAATCAATTGGCAAATATGCTATTTTTCCTTTTATTAACCACACCTATGTGGATTCTGGTGCTAGGCACTACTGCTTCCCTTTAACAGTTCCTGAATTTTAGGGCACATCCCTGGTTCAGATGAATAGTCTTTGATATGTTAGCTTTGCATTCCCAAACACAAAATAGGAAAGGCAAATGTTAAGCTGCCACAGGTGACAGTAGTTGCTGAAATGGACTCTGGAGGATAAAGGCAATAGAGAACTAAAGTTCTCTGGGAAAGCTTCAGATGTTTAGATCCTATAGTGAACTCTGTTGACTAAAGGTCTCAATATTGCAAGGTCATCCAAGGGAGATGGAAAGAGATTGAGTGTTTTTGCTAGCTTAAGGGAAAAATAAGACAACAATTCAAAGTTCCATGAGCTTTATTTTTATAAAACATCAACTAAGTCATCAATCTAAAAGTCTTATAAACATTAAGACTAGGCGGGGGCAGAGCAAGATGGCTGAATAGAAACTTCCAGCAATTATCCTTCTGCAGGTACACCAAATTAAAAAATGACATGATTGTGGGACTTTGCATTGAAACCCAGTGCCACCCTGGCATGGGGAACACAGCACAGGGCAGAATTCTGCCTGTGCCCATAGCCCATGGAAGGAACATTTAGACCAGGTCTGCCAGAGAGAAATCCACCCCCTGGCTGACACCAGCTAGCTCCACCAGCTCCACCCCTGGCTGACAAAAAGAAAGCAGCATGGGGCCTGGACTAAATTCAGATGGCAGTGAGGCCACAAAAGCTGCAGTTGTTGGACAGTTCTTGCAGCTGGGCTGTGCTGCCTCAGACCCAGTGGACTTGGGGTGCATGTGACTGAGAGAGACACCAGTGGTGGGAGACAAGCCAATGTCTCTGTCACTCCTTCCTCCAACTATAGACAGCACAGCTTAGGGAATCTTCTAATACTTGCAGAAGGGGAAGGGAAAAGTTAAGAGGACTTTATTTTGCAACTTGGGTACCAGCTCAGCCAAAGTAAAATAAAGTATCAAGCAGACTCCTGAAGTTCCTGAGTCCAGGCGTTGGTTCCTAGAACGCATTTATGGACCCATCCTGGTCCAGAAAGAAACATGCTGCCCTGAAGAGAAGGACCCAGTCCTGGAAGAGTTCACCAACCTGCTGACTAAAGAGCCTTTGGGCTTTGAATACACACCAGAGGCAGGTAGGCAACAGTCACCACTCATTTGGTGAGACTGAGCTGGCTTCAGATGTGACCTAACTCTGGTGGCCACTAGGGAGTGTCCACATCATGCCTCCCCCAATGCTAGCAGCCCAGCTAGAGGGAGGGAAGAGAGTGAGAGTCTTTGCCTGGCAATCCAGGGAATTCTCCTGTATCTTACCCTAGTCCACCAAGGCAGTACCACCAGGAGTCTG